TTAATAAACAGGACTTTTTCCCTTTTTCTCCACAATAAAAACTATGAAAATGCATATATTTATATATGATCCCTGGCTGTTACGAGGTAACCATTTCTTCCCTGCAAGCAGATATGCAAAAAAAAAAAAGATAAGATAAGATGGCTATATTTATATAGAGATTGGTTTTTAATATATTTTTGTATTTATTTATGTGTGTGTATATATATAACAACTTATATGTATTTCTTTTATAAGGAAATGTGTTTAGTGTCCAAGACTATCTGTAGTGCATCAACTTTAGTAATCATCTTAAGAAAAACAAGAAACATTTTTTACTTCTGCATGCTGTGGTCACTTTTACCTATTTAGGCCTTGTATTTACCAAGACCATTCTAGGTAGATTAAGAGTGTTGCACATCTGCTGTTAGGCTGCTCCTGCTTTTGTCTGCTGTCAAAAAATAAACAGTAGCATGAAAAACCCCCGGGCATTGATTTGCCTTTGAGGGCAGAAAATTTTTCCCTAAAGATTACTTCAGAAACTATATTTAAATGAGAGGAGTTATTAAACAAGCAAACAGTGTTTGCTAATTTTGTAATTTGTGCTAAAGATGGGATGAGACATAGAAGGGGCAGAGAAGGGAAACTCCTCTGTATGACTCTTGATACTGACTTCACTTAGAAAGTGATGGTAAAAGTACGGTTATGAGGGTCTGTAATCATATTGCATTGATTTACATAACAGTGTACCCTGACTGCGATTAGGGAAAGGATGTTTCTATGTGCTGGGAAACTCCATCAAGATACATCATCATCTGTGCAAGGTGCTAAGATTCCTCCAAGAGCTGAGACCTAAATTGTTGTCTTTCCTTCTTGTGTGTCCGTCCTGCTAAGAGATACTATGAGCCAGATTTCTTGTCATTTTGTTTTGTTTATATTTGTTTACTAAAGATGTGGACATCTTTCTTCAGATCCACCCGTGTGCTTGTAAGCTTTGGCTGCACATTGCCATTTCCCTTTGGACATCGCCCTTCCTCAGGTCTGCCACCTAGCTACTTACCTAAGTAATTTTAGTGCATTCACATTGAAATTTGTCAGTGAGACCTCACCCAAGCAGGTAGCTAGTAGTTCAGAGACTGTCAAGTCTGGCAGGAAGATAATTGAGGAGTACTGTGACACTGAGAAAAAGGTATCTTCATCATGGCTCAACAGAATTTGTTTGAATTCACAGGTTATTCACCACGCAATTATAATTCTGTAAAGTACTTGAGAAAAAGAGTTGCCTGGCTACCTTTGTACTACAGAGCCCACACAACTAAGGAGGAAAAAAATGTGGTAGTTATTAAAGTGGACAAACATTTTGAATATATACCAAGCTGTCAAGGAAAGATGCCATCATACTCTTCAGAGGAGAGCCATGCACACGAAAATGACTGAGGCAAATTAGAAAAGTTTTAACACCCAGTCACCTTATTTTCAGCTCTGTAGAAACAGGAACAGTCACTTCTACCTCAACTCTGAGCTGCCAAGTAAAATCTTCATATAGATAAAAGCCACAAGACACGCTACATACCTTCAAAAGCTGAAGATCTTCTAGTAGTATTTTGCAAGCAGTGGCAGTGGGTCTGCAGGGTCTACTCCACTGGCTGTGTCAGATAGGAGGGCAGTCCCAAGGATGCAGGCTACCTCCTAGGTCACCAATGTCCCATTGCAGTTGTATCTATCTCATGGCTTGGCCTGGAAGCCACATGTGTCCCTGAGAGTCACGTGCTGGCCAGCCATAGACCATTTGAAAGGACAGAGTTCAGAGCTGTCAGTTTGACTGGATTCTTGAATTTTTAGGGTGATGGCATGTTCTTATAATGTCTTTAGGACATTTGGATTTTCATTCAATATTTAATTCTGCTTCTTTAATTCTTCTTACTTGATTCTACTATTTAATTGTTACTGTACCTCCCCATACACATCTTAGATATTCTGGTATCTGGAGAAAACCTCTCCTACTTGCTTTTTTCCCCAAGAGCAGTGAAATATTCCATCAAGTGGCTTCTCCACGTGATTGCTGCTTCCAGCCATGAGGAAGGAAAAATAGTGTTTCCATATGAACACACAGATACCTAATAACCACAGAATGGTGGGTTACGGGATGGACCAGTGCTTACTGCTCAGTAGTTTCTTTTTCCCCGTTTGTTGTCTCACTCACATCTGCTGATAAATCCCATTCTGAAACCCTAAGTCTTCTCCTGGATTCAGATGGAAGGCAAGATTAAGTTTTTCAAGTTCGCAAGAAAAAGCTGACTGTATAGATTTGTACTAAATCTTTGAAAAGGGACAAATTGCCAGGTTTTGAGGGTTGGACTTGTCAGACTTATTTTTAAAGTACCTAGTTTTGCAGGCAGAATTTAAACATTATTCAGTAAGATCTGAAAAGCAGCCTTTATATTTCATTTACTGTCTTCTCCTGATGACAAAGTGGTTCTTTATTGTGCATTCTTTCCTGCAGAATTTAATTGCCATGTGTTACCTTACAGAGGTAAATCAAATTCTGGGTAACAAAGTTGCTGAGGAAATGGTAGAGCCTTTTTCGACAAAAGCTTCCTGTGACTGATGAAAATACCCTGACACTGACCTGTGCACTGGCTTCCAGCCACCTACCAGAAGAGTAAATGGCATGCAGCGTACAAGCTACAAATACACACAACGAAAAAAGAACACAACACATCGCCACTTAAGTCTTTCATTTGGGAGAATGATCCACAGTGTTGCTTGCTGTTTAAGTACTTTCTTTAGACTTAGCATCGGTGAGGATGTTGTAGGAACACTGGTTTGATTCAGAGGGTTAATGAGTGTAACGCGCAGTACTTCTGCTGAGGCTGTGGATGTTTACAGATGTGAATTTTTCAGCAGCTATAAACGGAAGGTCTATTTGTTTTGTCTAAAGTGCATGGGAAAGGCTTGATCATAATATTAGAAATTCAAGGCTAATGGTTAAAAAAAAAAAAATCCTTAAGTTTCAAAGTTCAGCTTAAAATGTCATGGCATAGCATCTGGAAGGGAGGCACCAGAGCAGGCAAGCTGTAGCAGCCCAGCAAAGGCAGACAGAACAGCACTGGTGGCTGTGCGCTTGCTGAAACGCGTGCACGCGTGTGGTTTACCAAGGAAGCAGCTCAATACCCACATCTGTGATTTTACTGTGTTCGGGTCAAGAAGTACAGCAGTAGATGATATCACCTGTTGGCACAGAGACAGCAAACAACAGCTCATACCTTTCTCCTACAAAGCCGTCTGCCCCAGCTGAATATGATTGACTGGGAAGTCACGTACTCAGCCTCATCTATCTCCCCAGTTGGTGGAGAAAAAAAAAATGCAATTCAGGTTTCAGCATTTTTGTAATCCCTCTGAGCCTCCCATTAAATTTGCTGTACTGTGTGGGAAAGGATTAAAGATTCTTTGAGCTCCAAAACACAGTATACAAAAATTAAGTACTACAGCATGGTTTGTGGTAAGGCAGCAACTAAAGTGTATAGCCTGCCATGTAACCCAGAGCAGCGAGTTCTCTTTGATAAGTAACACTTGTTGACAGCTTAAAATGTATTTTGGTAACACATGCTACAGTTGTGTACAGCCTTTATTTTTAATATTCTGTATGCAACAGACTTTATAAGAAATTGCAAAAATAATCAGAGTTGTTTATGTGCTGTTACTAACTTAGTTCAGAGTGCCAAAAGAGGAGAACATTTGCTGGCAAGGATAAATTCTGCTTCTTTAAGAATGGCTCATAAATGCTCTCTTGTAATAAATATTTCAAGATTAAAATCAATGCGTTACAAGCGTACACAAGGCTGTTTATCAAGATAAAATAGTTCATTTCCTAAAAGGCAATATTATTTACATTTATAATGTAAATAATGATAGATGAGAATTTTTTATTTAAGAGCCGCCAGGATTTTTTCCCCTCAAAAATGGTAAAGGAAAAATGCTGAAAAAATTTTTTCCCTAATTTTTTACTACTTTGAGAGCCTGGCTTGCTGTCAGGCTTAGTTTGTGCAGTATTAAATTCTACTAAATATATTGTGCTCACTGTAGTTAAGCATCTAGCCTTTTTTGTCCTAATTCCATAAATAAATATATGAACTTTTTTTGATGTGAAAAGGACACAGAGCTACTGTGTCCCCAGGCCTTGGGGAGAAACTAGGGACAAGAAAGAGCATAACAGATATTAAAATTTAGACTCTGAAATTCATACTTTTGAAGTAAATGTTGTCTTCTCCTGCTTACATTACCCTACTTTTATGAAACTTCTTCCTTTCACATCTGAACTGTGAAGAGCTTTGTGTGACTGCAGCCAAGCGTGCATCTGACTACAATTTATCAATGTTACGATGCAGACTAGAAAGTACTAAAGAACAAGAGGAATGAAAGCATCAGTGCTGCATTTTAGTCCTTTTTCATTTCCTCATTGCACTAGAAAGCACAAATATATGAGGTATGAATACCATCTCATAAACAAGAGGTCAGTTCCAGTACATGTACAATGTTACTGCTGAACAAACTGTATAACTCTTTTCACCATTTGTAAGGCAAATTAAATTAGGGTTCCAAAGTAACTGGAAAACAATACAATACCATCCAATTTATATCTAGGCTTTCCACCCAAAAAACATAATAAGTATCTGCTGACTATATCCATCTTATCATTTTTCTAAATATACAGCCTGTTTGCTTCTCTGTAGTAATTTCTAATGTTAATTTCTAATACGAGCCTTTGAACAGTATTCCTCAATGTCATTATTTCAGAATTTTATATATGCAGATATTTTATGTATCAGTTATTTTTCTTAAGGTTTAGGCTGGTAACGGTATTATTTACAAAAGAAAAATGCTTACAGAAAGATGTCATTACGAAAAAGCTTAGTATGTGGGCTTCTCAGTTCTGGGGCTTTTTTTTAATCTCTCTTGTGAAGCTGAAATTATAACCTGTTTACTGGGTTCAACTTTCTGACACTTTGGTTTGGTTTCAGGTTACTATCAGCCAACTGTATTCCACGCAGAAATTGGTTATTGAGAATCCAGGAAACACATAGCTGTGAGAAGACTCTGATCCTGAAGCAACACTGGACCATCTGCAGCATCCTACAGTGCCACATAGAGATGCGTAAACTCACTGCACATGTCAGCTTTTCTGTTTAGCAGAAGAAATGCCCGAGAGACTCAGTTTTTGGCAAGCAAAGTTGTATTTTCTAATGGTTCACATGTTCTCAATTCTATTGCTGTGATTTATAATAGCATATAAGGTAATCTCAAAATCTGTGCTTGTATGTCCCATGTGATGGAATAGTTCCTGCCCTACTTTGACAATAAAACTTCGTTAAACTACCTGTAACCAGATACATTATTCTGCTGCTGACCTTGTCTCTCACTGAGCACAAAAGATATGCTAGATTTAAAAAGCCTTACCCAGATACTGGGACTTAAGTTCTTGTTGATCCTATTTCATTTAAAAATATGCTGCATCTGAATTAAATTACAAAATACATAGTTAATTTTAAAAATTAAAAACAGAGGTGAACAGTTTTCATCTCCTGGACAAGCTGCATTGTGTAATTTCTTTAACGTGCATCTCCTGACATTTCAGGAGGTGACATAAAAATTTCACTAGTTCTTTCTTGAGTTTTCAAGAGTTAATAACCAGTCTCATCCTCCCTTTAACAATTAACAGATCAAAATAACAGAATGTAAGAATTGCATCACCAAGGCTTGGGAGCTTTAAAATGTATTTTCACCACGGAGTCCTTTTCTAAATTTGTTAAGTTGCAGCTATTAGCAGAAAGCACCACATCACTTTATGCAAAATTTCCCTTTTTCACAAAGCTCCTGAATTTTGCAGGAGAAAAAGAACCTAACTACTACAATAACTAGCACTGTAGGTCATGAACAGGCAGCAAGCTTTGCCTAGCAAAAGTGGAACCCTCAAGTATAGTGTTCTATTGATTATTATTAAATCTGTAAAATAATCAACACTTTTAAGAGAGTATGTTAAAAAAAAAAGCAAGCAAAAATTTTGATCAGGTTCTATTCAAGTCATTGCTGTGCTCAAATTTGTTTTCTCTTAAATATATGCAGAAGAATTAAGCGGTGCAAAGCTTTTTTAGTGCCATACAGAAAAAAAGCTTCCTTTTTTTTTTTTTCTTCCAGGGGATTGTTGTGGGGTTTTTTAAGAACAGAATCTCAAATCTTAGTTCCATGACACAGTGGCCTTTAAAAACCTCCCTTTATTTTTCTTGCATCCCAAAATTCATCTTTGTTTAGAACTTATATTGTTTTGTGTTGTTCATGCTGTGTGATAACATTATTAAAGCAGAGGATAGACAAAGTGTCTAATTTAGAACAAACAATTTAAAGTGTATTTTGTAACTTGGTACCATTAGATTGAAATTTATAATAATTCATTCCATAAACAATACAGTGTACAGAATAAGATACTGTGACTACCTGAGACTACAAATGTAGCCTTCATTCTTGCTTCCAAATAAAATGCAAATACAGTAATAATTCTCCTCTTATTAGGTATTTCAATGTAAATTGCTTTTAGTGAACATTTTATTAAAATTGAATTTAATTATTTTAATAGGTAAAATACATTAGATTCTGTATTTTAAACCTCCATATTCACAACTGGATAATTAAGTGCACTTAATGGTGGAAGTGTAGGGAAAGAAAGGTTTGATTACTATTTAAGCTTCCAATGAACTCAAAGAAATGTCACATCTTCCACTTTCAAAGGACACAGGCTTGGAAGGGCTGCCAGTTTTATACTCTAAGGAACTTGGGTCCCTAAAACAGTACATGCAAAATCCTTGTTAAAACAGCTTAATTACTGGAACAAGCACTGCATACCATTTCAGGATCTGAGAATGTATGCTGGGGAACAAAATAAACAAACAGCCTTATAAATAGTGTAGCCCTAATTTATAAAGAGGAATAATTCCATCGGTAACGTTTTTACAATTTACATCTAAGTTTTCACCATGCTTATAAAAAAGAAAGACTATAAGACTGTTTTCAAATAGAGGCCCTGGCAATATGTAACAGTTTCTTCCAAAATACCAATACCTTTCCAGTGAAGTTCTCTATCATTGTTTCCAAAAAGAATACAGCTGTAGATGGTACATGCTGTCATATAGGTGTGTAGTCATGGGAATGTGAAATTTCTTACTAATTCTCTCAAAAGTATGAAGGAGGTAACTTCTCCGTTAATGTCTGAAAATTCTGTTGTTAAGTTTTGGTGGGTGATACAACACTACTGCACTCCTAATTCATGCCATCTGCTCCTACTTTCTGTCTCAAGGTTACCACTCAGATTATCTCTCCTTTAGCTATTTATACCTGCAAAGGAGCAGTATTAACCTTCAGGATACATTCTACAGAGAGGACCCATCAATACAAAAAAAATTAAAAAATTTAAAAAAAAATCAGGCTCTGTAATCTCCCCCTCTCCCCAATCCATAGTGCAGAGGTTAAGACAGCTCACTTTCTTAAGTCAAGGAAAAATTAGTTCTTATTCCAAATTAACCAGCAGCTTACCATACAGTATTTATACATTACTTACTATAAGTAACCTAAGAAAACTTCTGCTGCTAAGGACTGAAAGTCTGTGTAATGTGTAATGCTATCTAACCTGTTAACAAAAGTGCAAACCTACCAAAGGTATTGGCATTTACTACTCAAACCCAAAGCAAGTGCTGCATTTTAGATGTCTGTTCCCTCTGTTTTGGACAGATCTGTGTGTTTTCTTTCCTTTCCTTACCAACACATATGTAAGTGCACCCTCCACTAGTGTTAGTTATGCACATGTCAGTTGTATGTGATTGGAAGATACCTGGAAATAGTATTTTTTCCTTACCGAATGTCCATTTCAAGTAATTTTGGCACAACATACCTGGTTCTTTATAAAAGCATAGATTACCAACTGCATTATCATTGAAATCCCACAAACTACAGAAGGAAAATATTTAGAAACCACATCTGGCTTAGGAAGTCCAGCGCAGAAAGAACAGTTGTAGATTGGGATGACTTCAGTATTATGTTCATATCCACTTGCCCTGTTCTTACTCTTGGCTAGGCACATGCTCATCATCACTGATGGAGGCAGCAAACTGGAGAGCTGGCGCTGTGGTCCAGCCTCGGAGTTGCTGTGCTCTTACAGCTGCACCTTCTGTGCTTCACCAGTTCCGTTTACGTTGCAATACTCATTAAATCGCTCTCTTGGCACACTGTCAGGAGCTTTGTTGGATTTTGTCAACGCAGTGTAAACAACAGGAATAGTTAAAACACAAAGGAATGATCCCATGACTTATGTACAATGTCCACTATTATAAAGAGTATAACTTTTTTCCTTAGAATAGAAGGGAACTCAATAAATATCTTTAATAAAGCTGCAGTGTCTTAGCAAAACAAGCTTGCTTTTGTATTAAAAATGTTTGCCTGTTCCTGATCTCAAAATTTTAGCAAACTATTAACCCCTCAGCAGTATGCATCAAAATTTGAATGTTTACATATACTGAAGCCTGTCATGACTTTGACAGTATGAACTTGGAAAACAGCGCTCTGAGAGAGAAAAAAAAAAAAAAAGACAATTTGTTATTTGTTTAATATTAGTGTCTAAAGGACAGGCATTTCTGTTTTGTGTTACAACTTATCAGGAGATTCTACTGCAACTGGAAGCTCAGTTTCAAAATGCCCAGGTATATCAGAGCTGTCCTGGAGGAAAGCAGTCCAAGAGAGTAGGAGGTGAACACTTCAGCTACAGTGTTGAAATCGGCCGAGAAGGATTTTAACTTACTACTCACATTTCTAGAAAGGTATTGCTCTATAAAACTTCACCAAGTTTCAAGGCACTAAAAGCATTACTTCCACCCTCTTAACATCAGGAGGAAGAATAATTTTCTAGAGACACACCAGCCCCTCCACTTTTAATTCCTGCAATGCAACATAAATGCATCTCTCCAGATACCCAGCACGGACCATACGTACACGTAAACAGAGCCATGAAAGAGCTGTGCACCGGCTGTTTTCCTGAGTTTTCCATAATGATCTACAGTGAAATCCTGGCATTATTCAAGTCAGTAGTATACTGATCGCTTTGTTCCACGGTTCTTAACACAGGCATAATTATTTCATGCTCTTAGGAATGTTTTGCTTAATGACCTTTATAAAAAAGAAGGAAGGTGTGTAGCTCTTTTACTGAGAATTGACATTCTTTTTTCAGTATTTTAGAGTATAAGAGTAGTGCATGAACCCTTAATGTGGAAGCAGAAAAGAAGAGAGAGGGAAGCCAGTAATTCTTCCAATGCTGTGTATTTTCACAACTGTAAAAGAAAAAAATTCAGAACTCTCAAACCTGTTTCACAGACATACGCACCTTCAAAGGATTCTGCAGCTTACACAGGAAATAATGTGTTGCAAGAGATGTTTCCTTCTACACTACTTACCTTTTTTACTGTTAAGCCCAGTATCTAATGAAGCTTTACAAGAGGGGGAAGTGATGGTGAGTAGTGCATTCAAATGACTACTCTTCTGTGTTCAGAGTAAGAGAACTATGGAGACCTGTGAAGAATGTACAGGCTTTCTACTGAAAGAGTGCACTCCATAAATATTTATACCAGTCTTTGGCAATATGCTAATCCAAGGCAAGTAATCTTCCCTCTCTTAAAAAGAAGCGTGAAAAACAATTAAGGTGATTTAATTACTGCCACGCATAGACAGCAGATTTTGAACTCCTGACAGATGAACATTCATCACAGTGCCATGTTATCCTAACCCCATAACAGAAGCCTCTGAACAGAATAAGACAATTAAACCTAGATCATTTCCCCTACCTTCCTGCAGTACTTTGGGCTGGGTCCAAATCCCAGGGAAGCCAATGGGAGCAGAAACCAGGCTTTTCAAGCACTAACTGAAAGCCTCGGCTGTAAATAAAACAGAAGTAGTTTGCATGCAAGTTTGCAGTTCTTCATGACACCAAAGTGAATTTAGTTTCACAGTCCTTTTCTGAATCATTTAAATTTGAATTTAAGTGTAAGCAGCAAAAGATTGCTTAAGGAAGGTTTAACTTTGATGTTCTTCACAGTTACCCACTATGGAGTTTCAACTATATTAAACTTTTCGGGTTTATATACACCTGTAAAACCATTTGGCAGCTATTTCTCCTCTAAGCCCTTAATCCATGGGCACAGAAATCTGCATAAAATGAAAACCTTTGGAGCTGGAGTTTTTCTGACAGTGCTAACAAATCTCTGTAATTTCTTATTCGTTAAGTTAGGGGAAGCAGGGTGTTCATGAGCACATCCTCCGAAAGTTATGCTCCAAATCTTCATAAAATACTACATTAACAGTAATGCAGCTGAACAAGAGGAGTGCTTCCCTTAACGTTTTACCCTATTGGGCCTTTTGATCTTACAGAATTAGAACTACTTCGTTTTGAATATGCGTTTTTGAGACTAAAGTTGCAGTTACACCATGTGTCTCAACCTATGACCACGAGCAGAAGCCCTTTGCTGTGCTGATAACGGCTTGCCAGCATTCGGTATGCACGTGGTCTGGTTCTGATTTTTACACTGCTGCCCGATGTAATCTTTGGTAAGGCCTTGCATTTCTATAGCCCCCAATGACCTCATCTATGAAAATACAGAGAACTCTGTGTAGGCAGTCTTTGAAACCTGCTTTGGAAATCTATGCTCCTATAAAATCTTAACAGTACGAAAATGTACTGGCTATGAAAACGTTAAGTGATTCTCGTCTGAGAGAGGTTCTACCTTTTTTTTCACAAAAAAGTAATAATAAGAAGAACACTTTAGCTGTTATAAAGCACAAAAATGTTGTGCTTTAAATAACACAGTTTGCAGGATTTTAGATTGGCACCAACTTTCTGAAGCACTCAAAAGATTTTTACTGTTTAGTCTCAGCAAACACTTTCTTGCATTTTGAATTTCAGATCACACATCTGAAGAGAACACATAAATACGTCATATTTTCTGGATGACGACGTTTTACGGCCATTGCCCACAGTTTACAGTGTGCCAGGGGACATTTCTAGCCCTCTATCAATAAGCACAGCTAGCTGAGATTCTGCAAGGTATCAGCAATGCACTGCCCAGGCACAGCCATCAGAATATGGCTACTCCTTTCAATTCCATTTAAGGAGAGATCCCTCCCATTTTTTGGCAAAGCTTCCTTCTTCTCTAAAGCAATTAATAAACACAGAATAAGGAATGGGCCCCAGAAGACCCAAACACTACATTTTACTTAAACGAAGAACCAATCTTAGCATCACGTATCAGTTTAAGAGCACATTATTTCATTGACACAGCTATCTGAAGAAAGGCTAATTCACACCACATTATTCCATGTAATCCTGTAATGCATGCTAGCTTTAAAACAAACTTGTGTAGGGAACTAGTAGAGTTCACTATTCTCCTTTAAAACCTTTCATGCTTTTGGCGAGAGGTTACGTGTAACTTGGAAAACAACAGTAAGAACTTTCTTCTGTTTGCGTGCGTAGAGCTTTTACTCTGCACGTTTTCAAAGCAGTTAGTACCAGCCTAACAGCAAGATGGTTTCTGAAGGCATTAAACACCTCTTTATATTTGGCCGCACTCTCACACTGTGGCTTATGTATGATTTTTTTAGAGGGGAGGGAGGGTAGGCTGTGTTTCAGAAGCAGCGTGCATGTTGTCAAAACTGCAGGAACATTAGTCTGAAACTCCCTCTGCTTCACGTCTTTTCCCCAGTAAACCCCCTGCTTCTAGTTCTGATTCTGTACCAGCTCTCTCAAGAGGCAGGTTATCTGAAGGCTTATTTTCAAGTATGGGAAATTTTACACAGAAGCAACTTCTTCTAAGGTGCTCATAGTGGGCTTCAAGATGTTTTACATCTTCAGAGGAAATGAAAACTTGAGAAAACTCACAGTATGCTCTGTTTTGAAAAGGAACATAATTTTCCAAGGTCTTGCTGAAGAACATACGTCCACCTCAGAACATTTTCTGCGTTCTGGCAATGAATTTTGAGATACTGTATCAGAAGAAAACGAGTCAAAGCTGCAGAAGAGCCAGAACAAAACTCAACCGAAACCTGTCTCTTTTCCACCCATGCTAGGTAAGCTTCCTCACGTCACAGCTCTGCACAAGGTGCCCGTTACAAGAGCACAGGGGGCTGTCATGGACTTAGAGGGCGATTTGCCTTGTGGCTCCAGCCGGCCGACAGCCATTTTCAACTCTAGCCCTAAACGCTGCTTATGGCCAGCAACGCCCCTGGCTATCGTGAGGAACGCTGACAGCTTCATCCCTCTGCACCGCACGCGTTAGGGACGGGGCACAACCAGGGTGCAAAACTAAGAAGCATCCTGTTATGTTTTGCTATACAGAAAAAAGATTTGTAATGGTA